GGAGATTTTTTGCTTAACAGCTTGATGCTACAGCATTGGAGCAGCAGCAATCTGATACGTACAAGGTTTTTTGAAGAACTTATTGATTAAGTTGTTGTATTTTTTTATGATTTATGGAGGACAGTTGGAGATTGTTGGATGGTGATTAAAAATCTGGGATTAAGACTTTTTGTATTATTTTGTACTTTAGATACTTTTTGTTTAACTTTTAGATATTAACTTGTGGGTGAAACTTATGTTGTTTTGTGTCTCCTTTGTGTATAAAAGGAGGTGATTGACTCATCTTTATACATACCATTCCAAGCTAAAATCAGCTCTCTATGGCTGATTTGTAGAAAACAATTTGGAGAAATACAAGTTTTTTGTTTTAGCTTTTCATCTTTAATTTTTTTGTCTTTTAATTTCCGCTCTTCACATTATGTTCCTTTACGTTTATTGTTATTTACATTTCGTTATTTACTTTCCGCAGTTTATTTTCTTATCATTTATTTTTCCGTCATTTATTTCCCGCAATTTACATTTATGTCTTTACTTTCCGTCATTTACTTTACTTGTTATTTACATTCCATTATGAGTAACTAAGTTTATATAGCTTGTGTGTGAGACGGAAAAGTGAGATTTTCAAACCAAAATAAAGTAGCTAAGTGTTTTCATAAACGACGTTCCATTGTTTCATTCGAGTTTTTATAAAAACCAAGTACACTTCTTGACGGGTTGATCACTTTGAAAGTGTTAAAGTGCCATGGACTTAGACATAAGTCATTGAACGCACGTCAACTTGAATGATATAAGAGGTAGACTTGAGAAAGTTGCCGACAAGGAAACTTGTCATTTATGTCTTTCAAACTTAACTCCCGACGGGTTGGTCACTATTTGAAAGTGTCAAAGTGCGATAGATTTATAGATGAACTATCTAGAACACACGCCAACTTGAATGAAAGGGAATCGACTCGAGAGAGTGATTTTTTAACAAAGAGATATGTTTATCCATATATTTTGAAGACACCATCTTGTCACTTTCCCTGGTCCAGATACCACATAGAAATATAGGTTGAAAGCTATAATATTGTGCAATGGTGAAGTCCGAAAGGAATACCTTCAAAATATATGGTGGAACTAAGTTTTGAAGCACTGCTTGTTGTAGCATTCTTACAACATTGACTACTAGAATTTGTGTTTGGGTCTCACCACAAGTCTTACACCCTTGATATTCTTATATATTATGTTTTCTGTATTTAATCACCTGAATATAAAATTGAAGTTTTCAAAATCATCATCTGAAATCATTTCTTTCATTGGACTCTCATTTAACTTTTGCTACAATCTCCGTGGACGATAATCTGGTATTTTATCACTCTATTACTTGGAAAGACGATATTGGATCATACTGTATACTTGCTTTGTGGTCCATTCCATTTGTCTAAAGGTGTGCAATATAACCGACCAATTACATTTACCCATGAATACATGCATCGAACTCTTGTTTTTTATCCTACGGCCTCAATTTTTTTTTTTTGAAAAATTAACTGAAAATTTACAAAATTAATCAATCTTTCAAACGTTTTTTTTTACTTTTTAGTCATGTTCAGACCTCACTCCACTTTCTACCCCAATCTTACACGGAAGCCTTATATATATCTATAAAAATTGGTTTCCAATTACTTTCTACGTAAGGTTTCCATTTCTGCATTAGCATTATACTTTATTCACGTAATAGTTTCATTTTTTGTGTAAAAATTCCATTTTCTATTTGTCGAAAACCAATTTTTATATATTAAAATCTGAAAATGGCTAAAAAAATAAAACCCTTTTTAAAAGATTTACTATTTCTGGAAATTTCTCAAATTTAATGATTGACCATAATTAATAGAGAGAATAAAAAACAACGAATATGTGAGGAAACCGGGAGCAGAACACCAAATCCACGTCCCGCTACATGGTTTTAAGGAAAATATAGAGCCCACCTTTATCCTTCAATTTAAAAAAAAAAAAAATAGTTTAATAAAAAATTATTATTTTTTAACCATTTATTTTTATAAAACATATTTAAAATTCTAAAACATGTGCCTACTTAGCTTCAATTTCAATGCCTTTTGAGTTTACAAAAACACCCAAAAACTTGTATCACGTGCGTGTCACATGGTTCTTGTAAACGGTGACGCTAAGATAGAGAGAGATTGACACAAATTGGAACATAAAAGTCAATATGTGAAACGAAAGAGACAAAATATTTTGACTAAACAACAAATTTGGTCCTTATGTTTTGTCGTCTAACAATTTTTGTCCCTTCAATTTTAAAATTACGAGATAATTAACATGATTTATAAATTACTTGCATTTATAAAAGAGTCATCATATACATTTATCATTATGAAAAATGTATTATAAAACAGATTGAAACAAAAAGAGATTTAAAATAGTATAACAGATAAATTATTATAAAATCTTTAAGGTTCTACGTAGGTGAATAAAACCAAAAGGTGAAAGGTTCATGTATGGCAACCGAGAATCATGATTAATGATTAAATAATTATGGAAAAATTAGCAAAGGTTTAATTTGTCATTATCTACTTCATATCTATATTTTTAATCAAGTTGCATTTGTTGATACTTTTTTATAGACGGTTCCTTATGGTAGTAATACAATGTATTAAGCCTTACTTATATTGTTGATCTTTTAAAGCATATAAATATTCAAATACTGGTACCGTTTGACTGTATATTTAGACTATGTTTATTCACAATTTTTTTCAATTCGAAATTAAGATGTTATTTTTTCTCTCATTCACCTACACAATCTTCAGCTCTAATCCAATCTCACTTCTTTTTTCATTTAGCCGTGATCCAATCTAATCTAAAATATAATTTTATAAAAATTATATATTTTATTATTTATTAGATATAATTATTATTATTTTAATTTTGAATATAAAAAATAAATTAAATTGATTATTGCATATTCTAAAAGTAATTATATCTATAAAAACTTATCATACAATTGAAATGGGAAAAGGCCATAAAAATCCAATGGACTTTAATGTTTGGAATGATTAAGTCATTGGACAATTTTTTGGAACAAATAAGTCATTAGATATTTCAAAACCTGTTAAATAACTCCTTGGACTTTATAAAACCTGTTAAATACATCTTTAAGATAACCGGCAACCTCTTTAACAGGTAAAAATACAAATTAATATATATATATATACACACACACACACACACACGCCACAAACATCATCCTTCACCCGTAGAGAGAACCTTGTCCCTTCCATCCGGTGACCATCTTGGTCTTCTCCCGTCCCTCTTATTCTTCTCCACCGATCAATATCGAGATTGAGCTACGTTCTTCTTCGGCAACATCAACCCAAGTTCAAGATCGTGTTCAACCCATAAACTTTTATCTAGAGAAGAAACCACAGGTAACCATCGAGATTGAAGGGAAGAAACCACAGTCCATAGGTGACCATCGAGATTGAGCTTCGCTCTTCACCCCTTCCCTAATTAAAACCTACCTTGAAAATGAGATGTGAATTGAACTAGACATCACCAATGGGAGGAAGGAAACAATGAAGAAAAATAGGTCGTATATAAAGGAGAGTATTGACAGCAAGAAGGGCAGCCGTGATAGGGGGTTTACGTTGAAGCATTCGGTACCTCCAATAGCAGCAACGTCTTCTCTTCCTTTCCTTGAGGCTGAATCAAAATCCCTCACACCCATCTTGATCTTCTTCCCCTCCATCCCTCTTATCAGTGCTGGAACATTTTTTCCCCCTCCTTATTGGTGTTGCAAGCCATTCCTTGATGTTGAACCAAAATCAGAGGAGAAATCCCAAAACCCGTTTGAAATTGAATCACAAGTCAGTCCTTGAGGTTGAATCAAAATTACAAACATGTTCATCAATCATCATCAAAACCCATTTGAAGTTGAATCAAACCTAAAAATGGAAAACCTTGACCCATATTTTGGGCAGCAAATCATCGATTGTGAATGTAAACAGTAAGCAAATCGGTCACTGAGAGCAGATCGAATCGAGTATAAACCGTAAGCAGTAAGCAAATAGGTCATCTAATTTGTATTTTTACCAGCTAAAAGGTTGCCTGTTATATAAAGATCTATTTAACACGTTTTAGAAAGTCCAATGAGTTATTTAACAGGTTTTGAAATGTCTAAGGGTTTATTTGTTCCAAAAAATTGTTCAAGGACTTAATCATTCCAAACACTAAAGTCCATTGGGTTTTTTTGGACTTTTTCCAATTGAAATTAAACAAAACAAGTCACAAAAGTAAGTATGAAAATTTTTCATCGATGTATTCTATCTATAGGGAATTAAAAACTATTAGTTCTTGTATTTTTTTTTGTTAAAGTCACTTTTTAATTAGATAAGTTTTATTTAAAAAAATTAAACCAACCACCAAAAAAAGACCACAGTCTTGGATTGTTGAATGAGAATGATTAGATGAGACTGGTTCCTTATTTTTATTTTATTTTTAAAAACTCTTTTTGTCTCATTCACAATCTGGTTGCCCAGATTGTGACCGAAGATGGTCTCAGTTTTTTAATAAAAATCATCATTAGTTTGTTGGTTAGTTCTTTACTTTTTTTAAATCTATGGTCCCAGTTTTTTAATAAAAATCATCATTAGTTTGTTGGTTAGTTCTTTACTTTTTTTAAATCTATGGTCCCAGTTTTTTAATAAAAATCATCATTAGTTTGTTGGTTAGTTCTTTACTTTTTTTAAATCTCATTTTCCAAAAACATTATAAACATAAAATTGAAAACTAAAAATGGTTCAAATGGGATTCAAACTCGGACGCAGAAAGGGAGAAAAAGTCATGCAAACAAAAGAAAATTAAACTTGAATTATTATCGTAGTTTTAATTAATATAATGTTGCAACTATCAAAATAATACGCCTATACGTTTTACGACCCTAATTTTTTTACACTTACGATAGAGAAACGAGAATGTAAAAATAACATTAAATAAAACGGTCCAGTTTAGGGCACATGAGTGGATATGAAGTTCTGATAATTTAAATCCTTAATCAACAACATTCTGATAACTCCGTCACCAATATCACTAAATACTCTTATTGTGGATCTGGGTTCGAATCCGAAAGTGGTTTCATCCAGATCCACGACTAGTGATCGGATGGGTCTTTTGTATCCGTCCAACACTTTTAAACAACAAAAATTTCCATCTTCTTCACGTTGCCAAATTCTAACCGTCTGATCTGCCGATCCACTGAACAATAAATCGGAGACGTTGATCAGACAAAGTATCGCCTTCGAGTGACCACGTAATGTGGCAGTCAGCAGCGTACGGTTACTACCGTGTTCCTTGCCCCACACGAAAATTGAACGGTCACATGACCCCGAAAACAACAATGATCCGTTGTCGTTTACTGCCAAAGCGTTCACAGCTGACTTGTGCTTATCCAACGTGGCAACTAGCTCATACTTTCTCAAAGGTTTTGCCCATACTTTAATCCGCCGGTCCGCAGAGGCGGTGTAAATCGTGCCATCCGCCGCAGCCACAACGGCGTTAATGGCGTCGTCGTGTGCTTTTATACTCTCCACGCATCGGAAGTCCGATGTCCTCCAAATTTTCAAGTATTTATCCCAAGAAACCGAACACATTAACTGATCGGTAACCAGAGCGAGTCCAGAAACGGCGTCGTGGTGCTCGATCCATAGTTTTTTCCGGTGACGTCTCACATTGATGTAATTCTTAGGTAAAACCGAACGGATCAGCCGATCTTCGAACGTCGGGAGCGTTGCGATGTGTTTGTGCTGTTTATTTTCCGATAATTTCCACACTCGGATCTTTTTGTCTTGATGAGCTGTGAAAATGTTGCCGTTATTGAAAGTAACGGACTTGACGGACCCTGACGAAGAGCCAGCGACATTAACGGTGGTAAGTAAGGCGAACGATGTGACGTCTATTACGTGGATGAGGTTTCCGGTGGCTGCATAGAGCAGGTGGTTATGGACGGCCAGGAAGTTGACGTGGGATGGTGGGAGAGGTTTGAGGGATAGAGTTAGGGTTTCAGGGGAAGGTTTTTGGCAGGAGTGATTGCTGTAGCTGGTGGTGGTGGTGGTGTCTGAAATGTTGTTGCTAGCTGTGTCGGAGAGCATTAAGAGTTTGGATGGTGATGGTGGTGTGGGTGTTTCAAGGTGGGTGGTGGCGGAGCATATTGATAACCATGGTCGGAGTTTCATTTTTCCGGTGGTGGTGTAATTGATAAAACAGTGATACAGAAGGAAAAGAGAAGGAACCTAAATATATATAGCCTTGATTTTGAAAAGTCAACATCGAATTTACCAGAAATGGGTTTAACTTTTTATTATTATATATGATCAAATTATGGATAAATTTTATAATTGTTATTCTATTTTAATAATTTTAGGATTAATTATATTAATAAAATATTAATATATTAAATAAAATACTTTTTATCCACTAATACTTTTTACGTTATTTTTTCATTTACGGCTAAAATATAATATATTGATTAACATATACTTATTTTAAAATATGTTTGTCTCGTATATATTCTGTTCACAATATTAAACATTTTAGTTGTATTTTTTATTTCACAAACACATAAAAACCAATATTTATGGTTTGAAAAACCTTAATCCAAACAAAACTACAAGCCAAGCCAAAGCATATGCGTTTAGTTGGCCGGGTTGAACTTTGTTGCACCATTTTACAATATAGCTAAGCGTTTCGTTTAAATGAGGTAAAATGAAATTAAAACATATAAAAAAAGGTTAAGAAAAACTAAAAAAAATGAAAGTTCATGTAAATAAGAATATAAAATTACAGTTAAAATTGTATTATAATTTTGAAGCTAATTACGGGTTGGTCTAATATCGAATATATATATATATATATATTAATCAATTATTTTAACAATCATATTAAATCCACAGTATATAAAAGTATCATATTCATCGGGTTGGGTTGAAATTACACTAACCTAATTTCAACCAAACAACTGTAATAGAAAAAATCAATCGAGTTTAATTACCAGGGATCACCATCAGATCAAAATGAATACTACAGAGATGATTTCTAGACCTACTAAAGTTGATGTTCCCTTTCAAACTTTTCACTAAACTTTAAGGACTAAAATTGAAGTTTACCATCGAATAAATAATGGATTAAGGGGTTGTATACCAAATGCTTACTCGGGTAAGTGTTTACCAAGTCACATTATCTTACCCGAAGAATATGGCAAGTACTACGAATCTTACCTGGTAAGAGCAAGCGAAGGACCGAGAGTCTTATCCGGTAAGTGAAGACGATGATTCTTACCACGATTAGCACTTACTAGGTAAATTGTTGTATCCAATGCCCTTTTAGTGGACTAAAATCTTACCAGGAAAGAAAGTGATAGTATTGAATTTTACCGGTAAACGCTTATCGGATAAGTGTTTTGTAAACGTCCCCTAACTAATTTTAATTCAAAAGTTAATAAGCACCCAAATTTGAAACTAGAAGACCTGTATAGGATAAAACATTAGTATAGTGACCGGAATTGAAAATTTTAATAAAGTACAGGGACCAAAAATAAAATAATCTACCCTTCTCCGAGGACGAAGCCGTATTCAAGGTTCGGATTTCGTCGTCAAATCACCGACGATCGTCCAATCGATTTTACGACTGCGGTAATCAACTTACAGCTATGATGAGGATAGGATTCATCTTGATGACGAGGAAGAAGCTAACATGACCACGTTTTTCGGGATGTCATTGGGCGCTTTTGTGTTCTGGCAATCAATGGTAAAGTTCATATTTGGATCGCTCTTTCCCTCTTCACCAGGATGAGATGGTCACAATCTTTCTATTCCTTTCTGTATGATATCTATATGCATTCTTATATGCTTTGATTATGATCGTACTTAGAGAAACAACTTGTGAACTTCGAGGTGGATGCATGATTCATCTGAGTGTTAAATATTGCGTGGGAAATGGAAAACTGATGTTTGAAATAAGAATTGGGGTTGGTTGTATTTACTTCAAAATTTTAGCGATCTGCTACAAAAATTATACCATATTACCTTCCATTTCAATTCCTAACCTCGAATTGCATTCTCCCAATCTGTATGTTAATGAATATGAAACTATTCCATCTGTAGGTTGAGATTATTTAGCTGGTTTTCTTGTGCTAATCGTAAATGGCTGCCTCGAACAGCATGTATATAATTTTGAAGTGTATGACATTTATCTCTTAATCGAAATTGAACATCACATTATTTGGTACCTTGATTTGGGTAGATCTACCTTGGGCATTTCTGCAGATAGCTGCATAATTTGTTGGTTTTTCCCGAATTTAAGCCTGTCTATACTGTTTAGAAAGTCCAAAATGTCAGTCTGCACTAATAAACAGATGCAGTATGAATTTATGAGATCAAACAGATGCAGTATGAATTTATGAATGTATGCACCACAAGTTTAAATGAATGGTATTAAATTTTGTCACCGAGTTTGATGTTTTAGATCTACAAAATAATGAATGCCAAGGGGGTTTGGTCCTTGAATCCACCTCCTGCCCGAGAATTAGACAAGTGCACAAAGAGAGGTATGTCAGGAGATTAAGCTAAAAGTGTGCTGAGACCATTGTTTATTGTGCTAAGATACTTGCAGGTTTGTTAGGAAGCGAGGTGCAGCTTTGTGGTATGACTTTTCTAGGGGTATTTGGGCCGAAGCTTCTTTAAATGGACCTATCCATATAAGACAATCTTGTGTCATTGGGTTATTGATACCCTGTTCAGTATATCAGAGGGAGAATAGAACAAAAACCACAAAAATGTTACAAACTCGTGAGAACCAATCCTAACCATTCGATTTTAAGTTAGGATTCAAGTTCTTTCACATGTCATGTTCTTGTTGTGTGGGGGGTTGTTTCATATACATTTTGTTTTTATATGCATGTCTTTTTCACGTGCGAAACAATCTTGAATGTTTCATATTTGAAAAAGTTCACATATATTGTTTCATACGTGAACAACAAATGAATCACATCCTAACTTGAGATAAAACTCATTGAATTGTTGGGATTGGTTCACAGGTTTGTAATATTTTTAAGAATTCATGAGTTGTTATGGCCGTTTAGCTAACAGTTTGGTGTAGTCTCTTCTTGGTGGTACAATCTTTGGAGAAAGCCTCCCAAAAATACCTTTGAAACTTGCTCTAGGAACTTTTGCTATTTCAACTTGAACATATGTAATGGAATATGCTACTCGGTTCCTTTGCTCTATTGGCATCAAAGGTCTTTGGAACACTGCGGCTATCTTGATCCTTATCGACATGAACTGAAAGCTATCATGACCACACAGAATGAACTCAGGTAAGCAGGCTTTGCATGTAAAAGAGTGTGCTTTTCCTATCACGAACAAACTTCCTGCTAAAAATAGCAAGTTGGCTTCTAAAAATACAGCCCACTTTATCCGTTTGTTCATATGATGCAGATAATCCCTTCGATTACAAACCCCACATTCAGCTCACTATATAAAGTCACACAAGTCGATTTACTCTATCAGATCATTCAGCAAAGGTGGCTGAATATGGAAACGAGAAAGGTTTTCTTCGTAGCTCTTTCTTTTGTGCTGTTTATAGGAGTGGCGAATTGCATAGACTTCACTGAAAAGGATTTGGCCACAGACGAGAGCCTGTGGGACTTGTATGAGAGATGGAGGAGTCACCACACGGTCTCGAAGGATCTTGGCGAGAAGATAAAACGGTTCAACGTGTTCAAATACAACGTTAACTACATTCACAAAGTGAATCAGATGGACAAGCCTTACAAGCTGAAGCTGAACAAGTTTGCTGATATGACCAATCATGAATTCAGGTCTGGTTTTGATTCAAAGATCCTACATTTCAGGATGCTCCAGGGCGAAAGGCGCAGGACCCCATTCATGCACGAAAAAACCAGTGATCCACCACCGTCCATCGACTGGAGGAAAAATGGAGCCGTTAACCCTGTCAAAAACCAAGGCCGATGTGGTATGACCTCTTAATTTGCTCTCACCCCATCACATTTTGTTTTAACCTTTAGCCCAATCATACACGTTTTAGCTGATTTGACAATTACCGATTCCGGCTTCCAAAGAATGTTAGAAGAATGATTATGTTCTAGTGAAAGTTCATATGTTACTTTGTCATTTTAAGAAATTTTTGTTGTTTTAATTTCGAAGACTTCTAAATGGTATGAACTTCTATGTTTTTTTTCGTTATTACTCGTCTAGTTGATTTATAGTTTTGTTACAAGCGTAAAAGAGTCTCCAAATTGATTGGGATGGCCCTGGTCTGCTGCTAACTTTGCAATCTCGATAATGAATATTTGTTACCTTGTTACAGGTAGCTGCTGGGCATTTTCAACGATAGTTGGGGTCGAGGGTATCAACAAAATCAAAACCAACAAACTAGTTTCTTTGTCCGAGCAAGAGCTTGTCGACTGCGAATCTGATAACCAAGGATGCGATGGCGGATTAATGGAAAATGCATACAAGTTCATTGAGGAAAACGGCGGGGTTACAACAGAGCAAATCTACCCTTACTTTGCACAAGACGGCAAATGCGATACATCAAAGGTACCATAAATAAAAGACTGCATAAGTTCATACGACTAGCTTATTACCTAACAGCTATTTTTTCAGCCAACGACTAGCTTATTCAGCTAGTTTGCCAAACATAGCTTAAATATGGACTATTAGGTGTTTGAATTTTTGGGATGTCATCTGAATTGAACGGGAAGGGAAGTTATAGATATACTTGTTTTATTATGCAGAGAAACTCGCCCATCGTAAAAATCGATGGTTTTGAAACCGTACCCGCCAATGACGAGAGCGCGTTATTGAAAGCCGTTGCCAACCAGCCAGTCTCCATTGCAATAGATGCCAGTGGTCCTAATTTCCAATTCTACTCCGAGGTAATAACTCTTTTTTTATGCAAACAGCAAGTAGTGTGAGCTGAAATTCTTGATCGGGTTTTGTAGGGAGTTTTTAACGGATTCTGTGGCACGGAGCTGGACCACGGTGTGGCAATCGTTGGCTACGGAACAACTCAAGAGGGAATCGGTTACTGGATCGTTAGGAACTCGTGGGGACCCGAGTGGGGCGAGCAAGGTTACATTAGGATGCAGCGTGGGATTAACAGTCCCGAAGGGTTATGTGGGTTAGCCATGGAAGCCTCATACCCGATCAAGGTCTCATCAGACAACCCAAGAAGTGTGGCTAAAGATGAGCTCTAGAGCCGAGCCATGAAAGCCACCTTATTATGTTTCTCTAGCTCTTATGTTTCAATATTCACTGGGTTTTTTCAATGAATAAGGCAGCAAAAATATTCTAAGTTGCTTTGTCAATTTGGTCAGAGATTGTTGCCTTTTATTTTGTAATTGATACATTGTTACAGAGAAACAGCAAGTGACTGTCTGAACCAGCTTATACCCATTGTTCAGTATGGGTCTAAACATGGGTTCTCTGTCTCATGTTTGGCATGAATTTTACGTGGAACAGAGTGAAACATGCCTGTTTCATCTCTATCCCATGGAACAGGGTGGAACAGACTTATATTTTACCAATATAACCTCAAAATAAAACTTAATTTCTTCTAAAACATCAAATAGGTCTCTCTTTTACATTTTATTCATTCTTTAAATTTTATTTATTGTATTTTATGTTTCTTAAATTTCATTTTATTGTCCTCAAAATATTATTTTTATACGGTTTCTATATTTTTATTAATTTATGTAATTTATTATTTATTAATAATAAAAAATAATGTCGAAAAGAGATAAAAATAAAAATAGAAAACCACATAAACTTTTTATTTGGTGTCATTTTAATTGTTTTGACGAAAACTTCAAGTTATATATTTTGTTATAAAAAATAATTATTATATTATAATTTAATAAACTACATAAATTGTTTTCTTGATTTTATCACCGTCAAACGTATTTCGTAAGGTTCACACATGCAATTTGTTGTTTTCGATGAGTTTTGCATGTGTTTCCCTTGATCAGAGTAGTAAAGATTCGATTTTGATCTTACATGAGTGATTGTACAGGTGATATGTGAATTCTTTTGTTTTCTGCAATCCAAGTTTTGTGAATGTGATGATACTATATGGGATCACTAGCCAAATTGTTTTCTTAATGCTTATATATTATTTACGATTTGATATTTAATCCATTTTAATTGATTGTGCGCTTGTTGGTAGTAATTTTTTCTTCTTAGTATGGAATGCATATAGATTTGTTTCGATAATGGATTTTTGATGCTTCTATTATATTTACTTTTTTCATATATCATTAATTGATTATGAAATCATGTATTTTTGCAAATGTATTTTTACAAGTAGTAGTGGTTTGATGTAAGTTATACTTTGCACACCGGATTTGTTAACATTTATATTGATTATTTAGTGAAAAAAACACTAAACAGCTCACTGGGGGTAAATTGGTCATTTTAATCAGTTTTGTCCAGTTTTGTCATGTCTTACCAAACGCTGAACAACTGTCATGTTCTGTCTTGTCCTGTCATGTCCTGTCTGCGTACCAAACGCACTCTATAAGTTGATTTTTATTAAGTTATGCATCGATAAAAATGTTTGTCTAGATTAATCTTTTTTTTAAGTATATAATATTTATATACGACAAATAGAACAAATAAACTCATACACCCTCCTCACATTTGGTGAGATTTGAACCCTTGACCTTATAGGAAGCCAATGACTCACATAAGTTTCCTAAGTTTTTGTTTGAAAAGTTTTTTAATAGATAGAAGAGCGTGTTTTTTAACTGGTAGGGATATGCTTAGGGAAAAAACTTGGCTTTCTATATAAAATCTTTTTTAGAAACTTACTGAATGAGTCACTTTTTACATTATAGCTGATTGAATAAGTTTTGACTCTCGTTAATTTTATTAAGCTGCTAACAAATAGATATGAAAAGTAATTGTTTTTTTATGATATTAATATTTTAATAATGGTTATAAAAATAAAAAATTTCTTAAAAGGTTTTATAAAATCCAATGTTTGATGAAAATATTTGAATAATGATTGTATCTTTAGTTACTGAAATATAAAGGAAATATGGAATGATTAAAGGAAAAAGTGGTCACATTTTAATGGTGCACAAAAAATTAAAAAGAACTAAAGCTGAGGACTTGTTAACAAAATTATATAAAGGTTTTTTTTTTTTTTTTTTGATAAATTAGCTGTTAAAGTAGTTATTACTTATTAGTTGATAAGTTAGTTGGTAGTTGATAAATAAGTTATGTTCGATAAAACTAAATGAAAATTGTAAAATGACCAAAAAAAATCTTAAAAAATCAGTCAATTACAAAATGTCTTAATATAATTAAAACAAATCACTAATAATATAATATATTAATAAGAATAAAATTGATCAATCTCATATATCTTAATTAATTAATACATCGTGATTTTAATATTTCATTTTATTCTTTATCTCAGCTGATGTTATAATATGACTTTATGTGATTTTAAGAAAGCGATGATGTTTTTATGTTTGAATAAAATATATGTTTGAAGATATCATAAAAATTTGACAAAAATATATCGATATTAGTATCAAATTAACTATTAGAAATTCCTTATTTTTTGTGTAATTATTTTATTCAA